CCCTCATGAGGGAGCTGCTGCCAGCAAGGCCCTGAAGGCAAAAATACCCAGGAAAAGCCAAATCCCAGGAATTTTCTCCACAGAAAAGTGGGATTTCCCACTCCTCTCATGAAGGAGTTGCTGCCAGCAAGGCCTCGATGGCAAAAATACCCAGGAAAAGCCAAATTCCAGGAATTTTCTCCACAGAAAAATGGGATTTCCTATTCCCCTCGTGAGGGAGCTGCTGCCAGCAAGGCCCTGAAGGTAAAAATACCCAGGAAAAGCCAAATCCCAGGAATTTTCTCCACAGAAAAGCAGGATTTGGGGAGCCCCCAGCTCACCTCCTGGTGCCGATTCCCTTCCCGGATGTAGACGCTGGCCAGGTTGGTGACAATAAATGCCCACAGCTCCTGGTGGGTTGTGAGCTGGAAAGGAGAAAATTCCCAAATATTTCAGTCTTTCCCTCAAGATTTGTTCATTCCCAGAAAAAAATCCTGGCTAAAAACCCCTGTATTGATATTTTGGTGTTAGAAATCCCCCCATGATCCATGGAAAATCATTGATAAATAATGGAATTAAGGGAGATTTCCCTTCCAAATTCACATTGCCATCCTCAAGGCCCATTCCCAAGTTTCCAGAAGAAAATTTGGGAATAAAATCTCACCCTCAGTGCTGTAGTGAATTGTGCTTCTGCATTATCCATGCAGTTGACAGAGATGCAGTAGAGACCCTGGAAAAGAAAGGGTATTTTTGGGAATGCAGCCCAAAACATGCCCAAATCCATGGAAATATTGGGATAGCAGCGGGAAAAAGGGACCAACAAGTCTCAGGTGTGGGGAATTTCTACAAAATGTCCTTTAAAACATATTATTCATGGAAAACAAGGCTTAATTTAGCCAAAAAACCTTTCTTAAAATCATGGAAAACTCAGTATTCCCTACAAAAACTCAGTATTCCCTACAAAAACTCTTCCACAATTCCCACAAAAAGCCTTCTCCAGCGGGCACAGTGGAAATCCCTGGATTTCCCTTTTTCCAGCTGATTCCTCCAAAATTCCCACTCCCTTCATGAAGGAGCTGCTGCCAGACAAGTCCTTGATGGCAAAAATACCCAGGAAAAGCCAAATCCCAGGAATTTTCTCCTCAGAAAAGTGGGGTTTGCTGGAACAACTTGGGATAATGGGAAGTACCCCCTACCCACCCAAACCATCCTGGAATTCTTTTTCCCAAGGGTTTTAAGCCTGGAATGAGCCCCCCCAGCCATGGATGATGCAGATCCGGTCATTCCCAGGGAATTTCCCTCCGGAATTCCCAGGTTTCATCCCAAGAACTCACCAGGAGCGTGTGCAGCTGGGCAGCGTGGTTGGAAAAGAGCCTGGGAGACTGCTGGCACAGCTGGCAGACCTGGGAAATCTGGGAAAGAACGAAATTCCCGATTTTTGGCATTTTTTCCCCCACCGTTTTCTGCTCTAAATCCCTCTCCTTGCACTCCTTGCGCTTCTCTTGGATCCAGGGATTGGCTCCTGGATCTCGAATCCGGGATAAAAGGGGAGGCTGGGTGTGATTCCAGCACAGGAGAAGGGATTTC